CTTTTTGACACTAAGAATGAGAAACGCTTTATATTTTAATTTTAATTTCAGTATTTTAAAACAAAAATCAAATAGCTACTTGTTTCTTGTTTTTTAACACCCGTTTCTAAAATGAAAATCCAATTAACAAAAGATACACTGACCCATAAACTGACCCAAAGGCATTTCAGTCCTGGCTCTGTGTCTCTTGTCTGTATTGATAGATTTTATTTTATTTATTTATTTTTTTACATTTTACAAATGACACAATTACTGGATTATTGAGCTGAATTATTCCTACGGACACATTTGTCAGTAGTTTGGCACCTGTTTCTGAGTGGGTGGATCCAGTATTTTAACCCCCCTTTCTATCTAAAAATAAGGGGTGTGATTGACACTAACCCAATCAAATTCTCAGAAAAAGAAAGATTTAAATGGAGTTTACATGGAAGTCAGCTTCTTGGAAGTCAGGCAAAAATAGTCTTCCATCATCATCAGGTGATATTTTGTAGATTTGCAAAGTTCTAATTGAAGCAAAGAAGAACGTACTTCTGTATCAGGTAAGACAAATAAAATCACTTTGAGTTGATCTGGACAAAATCTAGCATTTTGTTGTTTAAGAAATGAATTACAACAATACTGCTACTTTTGGTAATGAAGTGTATTTAATTAGCATTAGTAATACTTTAAGTTCTTGCAGTGGTTCCCAAACAGCATTTGACCTTCAAAATAAAAGCCACAGAAACATGTCATCCTGAAGATTACAAACACTGTCATTAAAACATTTCACAAAGACACTCATTATTGTTCTTATACATTTAGGACTACAATTTTTATTTCTTTTTAACAGTTAAATATGCTGTTAGCTATATTTTAAAGTTAATTATATGTTTGTAGGTTTTACTTTAAGAATCCCACTTGGTGTTTTGGGAACCACTGATAATGCATCCTTTTTGTTAAATGGAGCCATGCTCTATAAATAAAAACCATGTCATTTTATTTAAGTTTATCTTGTAAATTAATACATAAAGCATCATTTTTTTTAACAAATATGATTGTGTCTGCTTGTGTCTTTCACCACAGAGACAGAAACCTTTTTCCTGTTCCAAGAACCACTGGTCTTCAATGCCATCCCAGCTCAAGTTGTTGATGTTGTGGTTCCTCGCCGCTGTTTTCGGGGTGTTGCTATGGTCACTTTACAACAACCAGATTCAGAGTTGGGACCCGAGCTCAAGCTCTCCTGAGACGTCTTCACCCAAAGTTAACCGAACATTTATTCATCGCTTGAATTCTTCTGTTGAACCTTTTCTGTTTTTAAAGTACAACCTGTCAGAGAAAGCTTTCAGATGGTGGAAGGTGAGATTTTAGTTAAAGACTTTCTGTTTTGATGTGAAATTAATTTGTGAAGGTTTTAACATTCGTTTTGACAGTAGTTTATATTTGGTGCACTTGGCAGCGGTTACAGCATGAAAAACGTAGCTTTGATACCTATAAAGCAACGGTGGACGAGCTGTTTCAGATATTCCCACCTAGACCAGATCTCGACAGCTGCAGGACTTGTTCTGTGGTGGGAAATTCTGTTAACTTGAGAAAATCAAATTATGGACCTCTGATAGATTCCCAGGATGTCGTCATAAGGTAAATGTTTCAAAACGTTTCATAATTATTATTAGTGGTAACGGTTCAAGTATAAATGCTTATACAGCGGGTAAAATAAGTATTGAACACGTCACCATTTTTCTCAGTAAATATATTACTAGAGGTGCTAATGACATGAAATTTTCACCAGATGTTGGTAACAGTTATTTGTAATAATCAGAGATTCTTAACCTATGGGCCGTGGCCCAATTGTGGGCCGCGAGCGCCACCTTGAGGGCCTCAAAGGAACAACAGTTTAACTTTGGACCGCACTGATTTTAAATAAGGTGTAATACACTTTCTCACCACTAGTAGCAGTAGTGCACCACTCAGA